CATCAGGCCAAAGGCGTTACTTTGTATTGAAAAAACAGTTAAACGTGTCAGTTATCGGTGTAGAATGTGGCCTAAACGTAAAGTTTAGAGTCAGCCACAGATGACTGACGTGACGCTAAACGTTTTAAATTACATATTTCTGGTAATAAAATAAATAATATTTTACTTACAATTTAAGAGTATGTTTTTCGAACCTACTAGTAATTAACTTTGAGTGCATTGAAGAATAAAGATAAATCTTGTAGCATAATTTACCTACCCTAAAAAAATTGAAAAATTTAATTAGTATATGATAGATATTATAGATATTATATATTAGTATATTATAGATACAAATATTAAAATAAATAATTAATACAAAATAAATAATACAATCTTAATGAATRAGAATAAAACTAATTAAATAAAGCAAATAAATGGTTTTATTGTATATCTTTGAAATGAGATTTGGGTTATCCCTCTACGAGTCCATGTTATTTTCTAGTAACATATTTATTATTAAGCATTTTACTAAACAATTTTAGTTTTTTTAGTTAAAAAAGGTATKAMCATCTTAATATCTGAATCTTTCCGAGACAGCTAATACCATATTAATGACGGTTACTAGAATAATCAATATAAAATAACAAAATAAAGTTTGTACCAACTGTCTGCAGTAGAAGCAAGCAAAACCTTTTTTGTTTCATTGATAATACTTTTGTTTCTGTCGSTATTTACTGAATAAAAAATTATGTATATAGTAGTTCTGAGTTTCAAAATCCGTAAGAACTAATTTTTTTGCATTTTAAATTTCATTTTTTTAATTTTTTTTTTATGATAAAGTTCTGTTACATTGAAGTAATATTGGCCTATAAAGAAATCTTCTGTATATTTAGGATAATATTTCTGTGTTCCATTGAATGTTGGAAATAGTTGAAGAATTCGTTRCAGCAAWAAATTCTTRAACATTTTTATCAGTTTTATTTACGGAAAAGATTYGAAGGTTCTAAAAGGATACATTTTTACGAAAAAAATAGATAATTTTGACCGGTGGTCAATACCTAGCTGGTATATAAGCAATACTGATCATTGCWTTTTATAATACCCAGGAAWCAATATARSTTATTAACATTTAAAATTAAAATTTCATCCTATCTATGTCAGGAGTACAAAGGAATCCGTAAAAATAAGAGGACGTCTTTTYTCCACCAATGTAAATAAGCAAAGAATAGTTAAATCAMAMAAYGTTCAAAAARATGAAGTATATTTATATATCTTTATGTTTCACGTCAAGTGAAAACTGTTTCGTTGAATTTCACGCTTAAGTTTTTATACACAGAAGTACGAATATTATAGGCCGTTGTTACCTGATAGTCACAAAATGAGTATTCTGCGGTAAAATTGTTTATACAAAAAATTTTTTCTTCATTTGCATATATATATATTTATAATTGCTGATTTTTCGTTCCCCCAATTTTTTTGGACTAATAAAAAATTTTGGCCCATATAGGGTTAAGTAAAAAATGACACTCTTGTCAAAACAAAATGCTTGATTTTTCTTCAATTGTTTATTTATGCATATATATTTATGTATACGTAACCCTAATATAGCACGGTATATAGGTTCCCAGAACTACCGTGTTGTGTAAAACCGTGTTGTATGAGATCCAGAGMCAATACAAAAAGAGGGGTTACGTWCCAAAAACTTAYTAAAAATAAATATTTYTGYTTTGTTTWAMMAAYAACTTAATTTTTATTATAAATCTGCCTGCATAATAACTGAGTTTATTGATATCTTAGTGATTATGTTGTCAGTCYCAAGCCCGGATAAAGGGTGAGGGTTGAAAGGTTAGGTTWGCTCCCTGTCTGACGTAAAACATGTAACAGACTCACAGACCCGTCGAGATTYGGCGTAAAGACTTTTGTATTATGCGACTGCTTGACAGGCTACATTTTTAATKTTATTATATATATAGGAAAAACTACAGATTCCAGTGAACAGTTCAATGACGATTTAGAAAAATCAAGAAGCGTCGTTATGACACTCTTAAAACTATATCATGAACGAGGACATACCGWATTTGTCGATAATTGGCGTGCAAGCTCCGCTATATTTACACAATTACAACATCATAAGTAAAATGCTTGCRGAACGGTAAAAAAACACCGTAAAAATATGCCCRTAATTTCMAATCATTTAAAAAAAKGCGAGATGTCATTTCGYTTKCTTCAATCATATTAATYGTTCGTACAATTCAATTCACTTTTGAATTTTTGGTTACTTTCTGCGGGAGGGTYTGCATTCAAGATAAATGACTCGATATTTTCAGCTAAGCTTAGGGCTTCTTGTAATATTTTTAATGTTAAATTACTAACTACATAATCTTTATCAGTGCTAGAGTAATCAGGGTCGATTTAGTTTACATTTTCGGATGTCATTTCCATTATATCCGCTTCGTCAAATTCTTCTTCCACAAATACAAATTGAGCTTTCTCAAAAGCCATATACACAAGATCTTTGCTTTCGATTGATTTACAAAGTAAAGTGTTGTACAAAGGTTTTTTGAAAAAAAAAAAAAACCGTTTTATATTAATCCGTAGTGTAGGAAGATTCTMGCAATATTATGTGAATCGTGTTATAGAGAAACCGTGTTATAAGATACTATGTTYTAGGAGGGCTACCTGTAATTACATTAAACAAAGAAAAGAAAGTTTTCAATTCTGCGATGTTTTTGTTCTCACTTTGGCCAACGTGTTAAAATTTTTACAGTAATAATTTTTTTTCATTTGTTTCTGTTGAAATGTGTACAGTCTATATTGCTGGTAAGCTTGAGCGGCAGCAACCGACTCGATCCGAATTGACCCGAATCGATCCAAATTTCTTCGAATGGTTCTTTTTTGTTTTGCCATTGTTAGTCGCCGTGTGTAAAGCTCCACGTGATGTTGACGTTTTTGCGCTTGGTCTTTGATGACCATTAAAATATGTAAGTTTTKGAATTAATTGGTCATAAATAAATARTAATAGTTGTAATGTCAAATTTGTTATCATGCAACCAACCYGATTTACAACCAATTTTAATTAAAGGGTATAGCCGGATAAGTATGGAAAATCTGCCCTTTTGACCTTTTTGACTCGCACTTGGAARATCGATTTGGTGTCGAATAAATATAATTCACCTCAACTTTCAGCTCTTTTATTCAAACGGTTCTYGAGATTTTCAAAAAAACCAGTTTTTTCGATTTTATTTTTATTTTTATAGTAAAATTCCCGGATTTGGTAATTTTCTTTAATTTTGCTTAAAATATGCCACATATTTAAATTATTTTTGTACTGTGAATTATGAAAGCTATAGCGGGTTAATACAGAAGGACTCATTGTCACCTCATTTGTTCAATTTAGTACTGGAATTTGGTGTTAAAGAACTGCAGAAAAATAAAGGTGGTCTACAGTAGAACAGGACAACACATTTGTTAACATACGCGGACGATATTGTTTTCTTAAGAGACAATGAAGAGTTATTAATTAATAACGCGAAAATATTAATAGATAATATTAAAGATCTGGGACTGCAAATAAGCGCGGAAATAATCAAATCTAACAGTTGGACTGAAAAGTCCGTACGCTAACACATAAACGGCATTACCAGGATTAAATCAATAACATTTTTTGTTAGTACTAATCTTCAAAAAAAAAAAGTGTAATAATTTCCTAGCTGTAGAGTAGTTGGTTCGTGAGATGTAGCATTTTGAGTAAAGCAGCTTTTGTTATTTTCAAAAAGATGGATAGAAAAGATTTTCGCCTGTTAATAAAACATTGCTTTTTATTGAAAAAAAATACTTTTGTAGCCAAGGCTTGGCTTGATAAACAKWATTCGGACTCTGCACCAGGAAAATCAACCATTAAGAGGTGATTTGCTAAGGTTAAAAGAAGCAAAATGAGAATCGAAGATGATGCATGCAGCGGACGACCGAAATTGGCTGTTACCGACGAAACATCAACAAAGTCCACAAAATAATTTTGAATGACTGTAAAGTAAAGTTGATTAGGTTAGCTGAGACTCTAAAGATATCAAAGGAACGTGTAGGACATATAATACATGAATACTTGGACATGCGAAAGCTGTGTGCAAAGTGGGTGMCGCCCGTGCTCACAATCGATCAAAAAAACGATGGCAAAGTTGTATAAATTGGTTCGAATTGCTTCCCCATCTGCCAAATTCTTTAGATCTGGCCCTTACTAACTTTTCCTGTTTGCAGGTCTGAAAAGAGTGCTCSCTGAAAAAAATTYAACACTGAWGAAGAAGAAACCGAAACTCAGGTTTATTTAGAGGCTAAAGAGAAATCATTCTATAAAATTGGTATTAAAAAATTATATGAGAGCTATAATTGTTGTGTTGCTCTAGATGGCAGCTATATTGAATAAAAGAATTGATTTTTATTAAAATAATGTGTTTCACTATGTTACTATAAGGTCTTTTCAGCCCAACTATTACAATGTATTAAAAAGTAATTGGATGTGATTATAGATTTAGTAACATATTTTCGAATAAGGCATAATAATTTTTATCTCATTTTATTTTTTAGTATGCGTTGATTTTTCTACGGATATGTTCTTTCGTTTCGAGAGAGAATACATATGGACTTACATTTTACGCTTTCCATGGCATGCTAATTTATATGTATAAAAAACACGAAACAGACCGAAGAAATTTATTTGCGGAGCAACAATTATAAAAGAGCATTTAATTCTTACAGCAGCGCACTGCGTTTACGACGAAGTGAGTCGAAGAACACAGAACCTACATAAATATTATGTAGTTACGGGATACATGTTTTATGTTGGCTATGATTCTGTTCCGCACAACAAGCAATTCGTTACAAAGTCAAACAAAGTCAACAAAAGTATGGAAAATTTTTACAAATTAATTTCAATAATTAATGAAATATTACATTTGAAAATAACGTGTACATTGATAATACATGAGTATTCATAAAGTATATAGTACTGTATATATATAATACATCTGTATTGCATTTAAACAGATACTAAAAATACCTCTTAGAAACCACAAATCGTTACTTTTAAAAACCAGTCCACTTCCGACGACACCTTCACCTGTATACAGTCCTAGAATACAGGAATTAATTGTTAAATAATAATTACATAAATGTTAAATTTTTTAAATCGATTTTGATTTGCTTTTGACCGTTCCTATAGCAAGCCCGAAATTTATCCATTGTTTTGTACCAATCAGATTTAATGGAATTATCTGAAGATTTTCATTGATTGAGCGGAACATAAGGAAATGATGCGTGTTGTAAATACAAACGATCTTGTCCAGAAACGCCTCTATCAAATTCTTCGTTTTTTTCTAATGCATTATCAATGAAAGTATCGTCTAAACAGATCAGTAATAAGAAATCTGAGAATACAAAAGGCGTTTCAATTTCCGAAATTGCAATGTCCGCAGTCAAATTTCCTTTCAATCCCAAATATCTTTTATTAATGTGTTTTTTACCTGAAAAATAATATATTATAAAGTTTATGAATACTAATGTATTATCAATGTATACGTTATTTTCAAATGTAATATTTCATTAATTATTGAAATTAATTTCTACAAATTTTCCATACTTTTGTTGACTTTGTTTGACTTTGTAACGAATTGCTTGTTGTGCGGAACAGAATCATAGCTAACATAAAACATGTATCCCGTAACTACATAATATTTATGTAGGTTCTGTGTTCTTCGATTCACTTCGTCGTAAACGCAGTGCGCTGCGGTAAGAATTAAATTCTCTTTTATAATTGTTGCTCTGCATATAAATTCCTTCGGTCTGTTTCGTGTTTTTTATACATATAAATTGGAATGCCATTGAAAGCATAATATGTAAGTCCATATGTATTCTCTTTCGAGACGAAAGAACATATCCGCAGAAAAATCAACGCATTCTAAAAAATAAAATGAGATAAAAATTATTATGCCTTATTCGAAAATATGTTAGTAACTCTATAATAACATTCTATTACCTTTTAATACATGGTATGTTACTTATTGTTATTAAAATATAATATTTTATAAAAGTAGTTCACAATTGTAAATATTAAGAATTACTCGATTGATAGGATTACTATACAGTTTTGCAATATTTTAAAAATATGATAAAAGACAAGAAAAGATGGTTTAAGGTAACTTTAGCGATTGTTAATGAATTAAAATTCTTTAAAAATGTATCAATTTATCGTGCTGATTATATGCAAATTTATTTTACTTTTAAAATTTTTCTTATATATGATTTATGGGAGCATATTTTTATTAGGTAGTAATATAATTTAATTTTATTAGAAAAATAAACTTTTCATAAAATTTATAAATTATATAGAATATCAACATATGTGTGTGTTATTATATAATAAATAATTAAATTCTAATACTATTCGTCTGACATTTGCTGGTACTTCATTATTAACTTTATAATTGAAATAATTAATTTGAAGTTATCTCATATCTTTTAATATTCAAATTTGAAGAAATTTTTTCTAGCATGCTAAATTCTAATCATATATCAAGAAATAATATAATAACGGTTCCTGAATATAGTACCAGTGCGTGAAAATTATGTAAATATAAATCTAATTGAAAGTATTTCTTGTTGTTTATAAGCCTTAATTGTGTTAAAAGTTCGTAACAACGATATCAAAATTATTCTGGTTATGACTACTTACATTCACATTATAATTTCAAATGACGTTTCTTCGTACTATGTAGTGAATGAGTGATTTTTCTTATTATAAGATTAAAACATGCAGCTATCCCCAAGATGAACATTAATGAAAAGCGCACCTGGAAAACATTCTATTGGTTCTGGCACCCTTTCGCTTCTTTCGTTACATTTAACTTGATTTCCTTGATTTGAGAGAAAACTTCCAACTTTCTGATAACCTCTGTTACAGCTTAATCATGCTGATGTTCCAGGCAAAATAGAAGATTGGCAATAAACACTTTGACCATTAAATTTACAAGTAGCATTAGTTGATGCTGAAACCAGCGATTTGCAACCTATTCCAACAATGATAAAAGAACTATTTACGAATATATTCAAGATACTAGACAAAACAATTCGTGTATATATTGATTACTTGTCCGCAACAATAAAATTTATAAATCTTACCTATACACACTAAAATATTGCTCCAATTTCCGTTGGAACCACAAATTACATTAGGACAACCTTTTATTTCATAGCCCGGATTATATTTGTATTGCAAAACGGATCAAAAAAATAATTCTATCTCTTTTTCTTTTACTTCGTAAATATATCCTACTATGTATTGTAAAATATTTTTTTTCCAAAAACCATTATCAAGCTGGAAAGAACCTAAGCAAGTACTTGCTTCTGTTGTACAACTGGTAAGTTGTATGAATATCAAGACGGCTAAGAAATGAAAGCAACTGATTAACTATGTTGCGTAGAGGGCAACGTAAGGTATGAATCGTATAACATATTTTCTAGCACATTCTCGAGCGATTAAAACACATAAACAGAACACTGAGATCAGCGGGACACACCAGTTCTGGGCCCTTCGAGTTTGCTCGGATTCCTATGGAAACACATGCGATACCATAAGGAGAAACGATATTCCTTAGTATAGACAGAGTTCTCTATGCATAATTTCTACTTAAATCTTTACTACAAACATAAGCTTTTTCTATCAATGGATATTGCTGGTGTACCCTTCTACTATTAGTCAATCAACTTGGGGAAGGGATTTCAAAGATCAATTTGGCACTATAAAAACAATCAGGAAGTCACTATAAAAACATCATCGCTATTCTGCCACAACTCACGATTCACATTTATTCGCCGTATCAAGCATAGGTAAGACTATGAACAACTCATCGGCACCCGACGAAGCAGTCTAGCCACAGCTCATCAATCTACAAGCAACGCAATCATCAAGCGGCTTCAGCATCGGGGAGATGTTCTACGAGCAACAACGCCACAGCGTGCATCAAAACAGCAACAATTAATAAAGGAACAATTATTAATAAAAAACATCAATCGATTCAAATTGTTTCGCATTCTATTAAGACCTTCTTACAATAGATAAATAACACAGTACTGATCAGGGCGCCGGTACGCAACAACTATGTTATCATTCGTTTAATAAGCTTACAAAAATAACTGTACAAAATGGTTTGCAAAAACTTTTAACAATAAAATACTTTTTAACCCTCTAAGTGAAAATGACGAATCCCTAATTAAACATTGTACAATCCGAAACGATCGTAGGCAACTAGCTGTATTCGAAATGCGCGCAACCGATTCTTTTTATTACGATTCTAGGTCGACATTCGTTACGCTATAAGCGAATATCGAAGCTCTAACGATAGCCATCCCGAACTCTCGCATCCCCACCACATGCGCCCTACTGGGCCTGTTTAAAGGCCTTTTTTTAGGCCTCTTATTCTTTCATCACTGGACGCCTACGACGACATATCTTCAGCACCTAAGGACCATAGAAGGCCACAAGGAACAACAGAGGATTATAAGGATTTACCAGGAACAAAAAGGGAACACCCCAACCTTTACGGTTGTGATTGCTATAAGCGGAGCGTGCGAAAGATGAGAGGAAATGTAAGCAAAGCAGACAAAAGATGAAATCTCTCTATTATATTCTTTTCACGCGAATGATTATTTCCCCCTTGTGGCAAAGCCACGTGGTTGATCCTCATTCTTATATTCTACATATCAACCTGGGTTTTTATGTCGCAAGGCTTTACCTTGACGAGCCAATAAAGCATTGCATCTTTGATTGGCTCAACCACGTGTTATATTTCACACCTCATCCCTTTCGCTCCGACGGCCGTATATATACGCCCTTAGAAATTCGATGCTCCGGTACGAAGAGCGTACATATGCGTTCATACCGTTTATACATTTATTTCATACTTTACATGAGATACTCTTATTAAGGGACGTTCTTCTCAGCAATTTTTAAAAAATTTAATTTTTTTTTTTTACATTTTTCGAATGTATATATATGTATAAGTATTGTGTTAAAATTTCAAAAAAATCCGATGTCTCTAACTATATTTTTTTGTTGCCTGAACGTTACTATCTCGGACCGCACTCCTGAGCGTTTGGCGCGCACGGTTCTTATATCGGCTACGGAAACTCCAAGACTTGTAAAATGCTGCTTTATTATCATCCATACGGTAAAGATTTTATTGTTAAAAAGTTGAAGTGTATTTGGCATGTGGCAAAACGTAATTTTAAGCGCGCTAATAAGGCAAGAAAAGCTCTCATACAAAAGAAGAAAATTTAAAAGAAAAGCGCCTAACCGCCAAAAAAAAATAAGAACCGTAGCAAAAACAGTAGTGAAGAGAAAAACGACTGTTGTGAAAAAAGTTCCTGAAGTAAAAACTAAAAATTTA